TAAAAGTCTGATGCTCTACCGACTGAGCTATCCGGGCTCTGCTCTGGGCAATCAGATATTTCTATTCAGATGACAGGCGGATGAACACAAACCTGTCTTGACATTTCTGCATCTCCAAAGGGCATTTTATCTTACTTGTTTCAACACAATTCAAGCTGTAACCATACCAAGTCAACTCTTCTACGTTGAATGAATGTACTTTGGTGGCTGGCCTCATTCTATATTCAAGAAACAGCGCATGATCCTATCGGCTATGCACGGGTGAATAATGTAACTGTATATGACTGCGACTTACTGGGATAAAGATGGCCCAGATATGTAAGAGAGGACTTGTCTACAATTCTAGCCATCGTAAGAAAGAAGTGTTGCATGCATTGCGAACCATTTCATCATTTAGTGAATTCTTTCTCATAGACGAAAAGTGTTTTCTCCACTTAGTTCCTTAGTTGTAAATAATGCCAGCCCATTGTATGGATATCACTGCTTGAAATACTTTGTTCTTGCAATGTTCTATAGTATTCACACTGATATTGTGAAATAAAAAGAGGATCGCCCGAACAGGGACTCGAACCCTGGACCCTCAGATCACTCTGATTGTGACAGACCGCTTAAAAGTCTGATGCTCTACCGACTGAGCTATCCGGGCCTTACGTTGTGAGTAAAAATTTTATCATCACATTAGTGTTGGTCGCCTCCGCTCTCCTTTCAGTGTTGACTTTATTGTCCGTGATAGCTGAACATAAACAAATGTGGAAGAATTTGGTAGATAATTGACTGGAAATTGGTAATTATTTGACGAATTGTCTTTCTAGTTACTTCAGAACATAACAATGTCGCGTCATTGTTATCGATCCCGCGCTGTTGAGACGTATATTGAAATTCTGGAAATCAGTTACCTCCCTTGTGATCATTACGAAAGGCTGCGGCCTGAATAATACGCCTCGTCGGTTCTTCGCTCGAAAAAATATTAACAAAAACAAACATTTTTTCCGCTTTTTTAAACGTTAGATTAAGAGAAGTTTTAAACGATATGGAATGGAGATAAAAGTAGCTCGCACACCAGCAACCAGATGTGAGTGTTCACGGAAATGGTACATTGATTGTGACGAGCTGCTCGTTTGACTACTTGAGGGGTTATCTCCCTTGCATCGTAAAACCAACCTGTGAACCCGATTGGCCAAGAATATGTTAAAGGTCACATGCAACCAAAAAATCAAACATAATTAAAACACAATTATCACTTCTTCATGACATATAATATGCATTGCTGATTATGAAAAAACAAATAAACAAAATTATAAGCGTATAATCGCTAATCAAAAGTGCAATATTTTGTACTTGGGTTTACCTCCCTCGAAACGAAGCAGCCGGGATACCGAACCCAGTCAGAGCGGGTGGGTGTGCACTCAAATGTAACGGCTGGTTCATTAGCAGATGCCGCCTTCACGGCTCATTGTGTGTGTATATATAGAAAGTTGGGTTTTGTAAATACATGCTCATTTTTTGTGTATAACATTTTGCAATCAACAGACATCATAACATGTCATGTGTTCAAGTATCACACCTGCCTGTCTGTGTAATTACATAATGTGACAGAGACCGAACTCGGGCCATAAATCAATGCGTTTTGTTTATGGTGTATAGCCTGATTGGTGTTAAGTTCAAATTGCATGTGGTCAGTGATCGCAGTTGTGTATTGATTATTGTCATTAGCAGGCAGGCAGACACACAGGTGTCAATAAAACAAGACATTGAGTTTTGTCTGTGACAGCGACATATCTATATCACAGTTAGAAATTGTGTCAACTCTAAATAATGACATTGCTTTTAAGTATCGAACTGAGAAAGTGACTCGGTAAGAAGAACGTGTGGTGAAATAGACAAATGAAAATATATAAACATTTTATTTACTGTCATAACATACAAAAAGCTCGCGCCTGTGAGATATCAACAAAACATTATGAAAATAGCTCACACCAAAGCCTTCACCGAGTATTCACCATACAGCCCACTTCCAAGTTGCGCGAACCTATTTCACTGCGCACGTGCTATGAGCGCAGCCCAGCTGTTGAAACCCGTATTCCCCAGAAAAGTCTGGGGAAAATTAGTGAAACGTTTGAACTCCGATTTCGCGTGTTTTTTTTCATCGCGCTATTTTTCAACTTTATAAGTTGAATTTGCATTTTTGACGCTTTGTTTCAGTAAGTCCATACCGAAAGGTATCAGAATCTGCAAAGTTGTGTTTTACGTTGCATGTGACCTTTAATTATTTTAGTGTTTGTACAAACACGTGTTTATCTCAACTGACATTTTATAGCATTATGTATAATGATTGATTTGATTTTAATGACGTTTGTTGGGTGTTTAACTACTTAATTAAAAGAATATCTTAAAAAATTAAGCTTGATCTTTAAAATTCATGCTGAGTACGTTATCCTGACCATGATCGCCATTATTTTTATTACCCTCAGTCTTCTCAACAGTCTTAAGAAATCAGCATTCTGATGACGTTTTAAATGATACGAGTGATTGAGTGAATATGGTTTTACGCCGCTTTTAGCAATATTCCAGCAGTATCACGACGGGGGACACCAGAAATGGGCTGCGCACATTGTACCCATGTGGGGATTCGAACCCAGGCCTTCGGCGTGACGGGTGAACGCTTTAACTACTAGGCTACCCCACCGCCTCTTAATTGATACGAGAATAATTTGGTTCAATCTCTGTGGTTATATTGTTACAGTTTTATGTAACAATATAACCACAGAGATTGAACGATTCACCATGTAGTCCGGTTAATAAAATCATTCCAAGATATCTTTATTCGGAGAAATCTACTGATTTTTACTTAATCTGCACGATGCGCGAGGCTACCTCCTAATGTGATCTCACCTTACTGGCTCGAAAAAACCCTAACAATAATGACAGTTATGTTAATGACGGGTGCTACCTCGCAAACGCGCAAGTCTGCAGACCCTTAACATACCATTTGCCACAACAGAAATCTCCCCGTCACTGTCGGCCTCATCATCGTCTGAACGCAAAGTAATATTTAGAGACAATCCAGTAGGGGGTATTTGTTATATATCTTTTATATATCTAACACGGGGAAGAGCATTTGTCACACTTCGGCTGTTTGAAATAATCTGTTTTGCAAAGAAATGAAATATTCTGTTTTGTTCCAGGTGGAGATTGGCTGCTGTCACGTGACTATGGCATGAACAGGAACTGAAAACCAAACTTGACCGATTTGCGCGAACTGCGTCCGAGGTGAACCTTTGACTGAAGCAGCCATATTTGTTTGAACGATAAACCCCCGGAAGACACCGATAACACTCAATTGATTGGGGACGAAATCAAAATGTGCAATAAGGCAGTCTGATCAACACGCTCCCCGCGCACCTCCCTTGTCGCGCCGTATGACAGAATGTCCTGTCGCAGTATCTAACATTTATAAGATACGTGTAAACATACGCGACAATGCGAACACGTACTGTATGGATTCCATCCAATGACCCCGACTTGATGTTTTTGCTGGCAACAGTTTAACATGTATTTTCCACTTGGAAACAAACATATCTTAATTCAGCAGAGGTAGGAAGCCGTTACTTACGACTGACTGACTGAGTTTAGTTTTACGCCGCTTTTAGCAATATTCCAGCAATATCACGGCGGGGGACACCAGAAATGGGCTTAACACATTGTGCCCATGTGGGGAATCGAACCCGGGTCTTCGGCGTGACGAGCCAACGCTTTAACCACTAGGCTACCCCACCGCCAGCGTTACTTACGAAGCTTATGAAGTGATGATGAACGTACGGTTGTATCACAGGCCCCCACTGCGGGTCAGAAAATCGATAAACTAGGCCCCGGTTTAGTATCAACACCCCCTACTAAAACCCCCACTGTGGGTCAGAAAATCGATAAACTAGGCCCCGGTTTAGTATCAACACCCCTACTAAAAATATTATATAGTAGGGGTGTTGATACTAAACCGGGGCCTAGTTTATCGATTTTCTGACCAGCAGTGGGGGCCTGTGGGTTGTATGTATATATTTCTGTGTTTCCCATCTCCTTTCCGCCTCGAACTTTCATTCCGAGGTGAAATACAGACTTATCTCAAATTTCCCCGCCGCTGTGGAAATGTGTGTCCTAGTGTGATCAAAAATACTTTATTTTTGTACTCAAACAAAATCCCCAAACAGCTTGTTCTTTCCTCATCTACGTTAATATTTCATGAAATAAGTTACACAATTAGTGAAAACATGTTTCAGTTTATATTCAACTTTTTCGCCCGCCGGTTCTCTTGTTGTTTGAGATTAGACTGACTGAGTTTGGTTTTACGCCGCTTTTAGCAATATTCCGGCAACATCACGGCGGGGGACACCAGAAATGGGCATCACATAATGTACCCATGTGGGGATTCGAACCTAGGTCTTAGGCGTGACGAGCCAACGTTTTAACCACTAGGCTACCCCACCGCCCCCTTTGAGATTCGAGATGAGAAACCGACACAATATACGGACCAGCAACCCGAAGCCCCTGACAATAGACACCACGTGCAGTCATCATTGTGTTACTTCGGGATAATTCCCTTTTTAACAGTACTTCACTAACATCACGGGGTACCTGCTGAAATGCGGAGGGAAACCCGAAATTAATGAGGGGAGGAGATCAGGCTCGATGTTATTGTTGAGAATCTTTGTTCATAATATTGACCCTTGGTTTGTCTGATCGTGATTCGACCATTTACAGGTCGCCCTCTTATGCTTGAGTGAGTGAGTTTAGATTTACGCCACACTCACCAATATTCCAGCTATATGGTGGCGGCGGTCTCTCCTATGCTTGAAATATTGTTGCATTACACAACTAACAAATCGGATATACTTGGAACTGTATCTTTGATTTATACACGTCACATATTGTACCTATACTCGGATTCGAACCCGTACTTCGCGTGACATATCACTACGCAACTCAAAACCATCAAACACAATGAGTAACGTTAAATATTTTATTTACGACAATGTATAAGGATATCGTCACCTATCATTTCTTGAAGAAATTCAAACTGAAATAAAAGTAAACAAGCATTCATATATAATACTCGCTTTGGGGCAGTACAGTAAAGTGCATAAATATGTTACCACCATGGAGGTACGGAATATGGGTTTAGTTTTGTCAGCAGAGGTAACAGTTGGACTAAGAGCACTTCTCCCTTCGATTCGCATCGAAAAAAACGAAATCGTGTGACTCAAAAGGCGCGCTGAAAAACATACCCGACTAAAACACTCCCAGTAAATATGAAGTTCACAAAAGACAGAATAACATTTATGTACTGTTATGACAGAAACCATTTCTGGTTATTAATGAGTGAGTGAGTATGTTTTTGTAGCAAGTCGTATGGCTTTTAGCAATATCAATTAATATCACTGCCGGGACACCAGAAATGGGCTTCAAATATTGTACCCATGTTGGGAATCGAACTCTTTAACCTCTACACTAACCCACAGCACCTTTTGGTACTTTCCAGCAAGAACAAAAATATGTGTCTTGTTACATCGTTCACAATCGCCCAAGACTACAAAACATTTTTAAGGATTAAGTAATTCATAGTCCCTATCAGTCACGATAGTCAACTAAAACACTAATATCCAGTTCATTCCAGAACATTTCTGTACGTGACACTGCTGCAGATCTGTGTCATTGAGTCTGGCAAACTGTAATCCTCAAACTTAAACTAAATCCTCAAGTCATCAACAAATCTATTCTGTCCATTCATTCCCCAACAATCAACAAACAAGCCAACATCTACTAGGTTCACAAGTGGCAGTGAAGTCCCCTACCGAATTTATAACCCCCTTCCCCTCTGAAGTATCCCCGTCCTTGTGAAGGATCGATCTCAACTTAATAGGATCATCCTGAAGTAAACGATGTCCCTTAAGTAAACTCCATCTTCCTATGTCATGAAATAACCTTATTGCAAGTAAAGGATCTCCCCTCAAGTAAAAAAGTATCGTCTCTAACCCAAAACCTCCCCTCCCCGTCTCAAGGAAAGCTCTCCCCCAAATCAATGATTCCCACCCAGTGATGTCTGTGTCTGTAACAGTGATCCCATGGACGCCCTACTCCAGCTTCTTGAGTTCCTGGGCGCCAGGGAAGTACCAGTACGTGCCCTTGACGTTCCTGCTCAGCTTCATGATGTCGTCACTGTGGCCATCACCACCAGCTCCTACCATCCGGTCCAGCATGTACTCGAAGTTTTCGGGGGAGGCAGCGTAGCCGATGAAGAAGAGGCCAGCTCCGTTGGCGTGGCTGCCGAAGGGCATAGACTGGCGGACGATCTCGAACTTCTTCGGCTGGTTGAAGGCGTTACCTACAAAACAGGTAGATGTTTGCCGATACTTACGGTCACTTGATCGACTAGTGGATGTATACTCAAACATTAAAGTAACGGATCACATACAAGAGATGTTCAGTAGTTTGAGCATGAAAAAAAAATCTGAGGTATGAGTTTTCGTTCGACGAGTTTGGCGTAACGCCTCTTTCAACAACATTTTAGTTAGATCACGGGGTCTGCTTGATGTGGGAGGACAATAATGAAGGGATAGGACAAGCACGGCTCGGTGCTGACAAAACCATTACCATAATGAATATAGGAGTAACTTCCTCTTTGTCCCGTGTGTATGTAAACAACACTGTGTCACCTGGTCGGACTCTAAAGGAATTCATGATACAACATGAACAGGAAATATGTGAAATGTAAATGACACCAATACAGAGAAAGAGAACATTTCAAATTCCAAACAGACTATGCACCTTAAGAATGCAGTCACTGTGACCGATCTCTAACTCGAAACCCTGGAAATCCTCCCAATATCCCAGCTGTCAAGGACCCAACTACCTATGTAACTGACTGACTGAGTTTGGTTTTACGCCGCTTTTAGCAATATTTCAGCAACATCACGGCTTGGGACACCAGAAATGGGCTTCACACATTGTGCCCATGTGGGGATTCGAACCCGGGTTTTCGGAGTGACCTATGTAACGAGTGTTTGAGGAAGTGGACTGTGTTTAGACAGGGCAACTGTGTTTAGACATGGCGACTGTGTTTAGACATGGCGACTGTGTTTAGACAGGGCGACTGTGTTTAGACAGGGCGACTGTGTTTAGACAGGGCGACTGTGTTTAGACAGGGCGACTGTGTTTAGACAGGGCGATTGTGTTTAGACAGGGCAACTGTGTTGAAACAGGACGACAATGACCTCGTCCATCAAAACAATAAACAGATAAGAAAAGACGCCTGTTTCAATCCACATAATCTATGTAATATGATTGCTGGAGATGCCCATCCCTTCCGGGAAAAAACGAATTAAACTTCTGGAAACGTGGAGATACATATATGTTATTGCCAGGGGACGTTCGACTGACAACAGAGGGCGCTGCTTCATACCTCCCGTCATCCTGGTCACGTGGGACGTGATCGTCTTGCGACTCAGTTCAGTGCTGTCGCCCTTCTGACGACCGACCCACCCCTCCAGCGTCCGCTCTGGAAACAAGAAGGTTAATGTTTAACATCAATAGCAGATGGCATCGTGTGTTCACAATGCAGATATTATCTAGAAGAGTGAACCTTGTGATAATATAATATTTACAGGGTTTCTTGTAAACTATATCACCACCACTTTCCTACGTGGAAAGAAACAGAACTATATGCTTGACAGTTCCATTCTACGGCAAAGTACCAGGAAAACGTATGTAGCAACATAATGTGACAAAGTGAACGAGGGCAGTCAGATTACATTGGATTATCGGCCCTTACCTTTTTCTGACTGGATTATATCCAAGTTATGGAGCCATTTTTGAGTTATCTGAAATGAAACAAAAACACCCGATATGGTGAAACCACACATCTTTATTTGGCATAAAGTAAATAACAGAACGATAAATAGGAAATTATATCCTCGACACAGGTACCCCGACACAGGTACCCTGTCTGTGCAGCCAGGAACCACTCCCTCAAGACAATCGGTAGGTCTAAAAGTGCTGCTTGAACCTTATTTCAGTTCCCTGACGGCGTGTCATCTTACTGTGGCAGTATAGCAGGATAGAATGCAGTTAAGTTGTGTTACTTCATTGAAAGCTACAAGTATGACAAACCACTATTGATTATCGGGATTTGAACCCAGGAAATATGGACCCTGGCGGGCCAAGGGACATAACCCACAACAGAAGTAGAGCGCGTAGGAGTCACTTGACAGTTCGACCATCCAATACACATTGTCTAGATACACCCCCGATTCACCGAGACATAGCGACACTTACAACGTAGCTGCCTCCGGTCTCCTTCTCCACGGCAACACTCTGGCGGCTGTCGTCATCAGCAGGGTTTTCAGTCCCTGACAACATAATGTTTCCATGGTTACTACAGTCAATATCTGGTCAATACATATGCTAATACTACCTGGGTGCTAGCTACGTATTTTATAAATGATTTTAGACTGATGATCCTTGTGCCAAGGGGAAGGCTGACAGCAGTTCATTACACTAGATTTAAATGTCGATTATGTTTCTTAATATTAAAAAAAATAATACATTTTGTTTTTACGTGACGTTCAGCAATCAGGGATAGTAAAATATACCTTTGGTAAGACAACCAAAATAATATACATGATATACATCACACATTTTAACCAGCCATTCCTCACTAAAGTACTGTCAGAAAAAGCACAAAACTGTTTTTAGACTGTTACTCTGTATCCCTAAAATTTACACAATTGCAAATAGCATATGTCGAAATAACCCACATCGGCCTAACTGGGCGTTCAGTGGGATGCGTAATAGGATATCCAGAAAAGCGTTTACTCGTAAAATCGGGCAAAACTTAGAAAAAATACGAACAGCTGCTGAAAACAATAGATCAGACTATAGATGGCAATTAGGTCGCTCAAGAAAAAAAAAGATGACGGACCGTCAACTCACTTGGCATGAAATGCACGTGCTGCCCACAGACACAAGGGGTCATCTCAAATATCTTTTATGCTTCTTCATATGTATTGAATATGTCTCTACTGATTATCTTATCTTAGCTAATATCTCTATCCCCAAGCCCGACCCCAACTACCGTCAGCAACACCCGTCTTGGTTGTGCTTTTGAGACGACCCCTCCTACCTGTTTCTTTTTATAGTGATAGTGAGACTCAATGGTATCTATATCCTTAATCTTTTCAGTATTAAAGTTGTTATTTTTTACGTCTGTTATCGTTTATTATGAACCTATGTCTAATTTCAAAAACGACATAAAAAAGAGTGTCATTTGTTATACAATATCATCGCACACTAATTTGCATAAAGCCATGGTCTGCTCCAAATATGTCTCTTCGGACTTTGAAAAAACCCGCATTGCTCATTTCTGCACTAATATCTCCTCAGTAAAATCCTTTTTTAACGTTTCCTATCTCCCTACCACTGAGACTGTAGTTAGGCCGAACTTAGTTCAACAGATATTTCTCACTTTCACATATTAACTACCTACATTGTAGATATAAATGTGAAAAAAAGAAGTTTTTTCTATTTCCGACAGTACTTTAATAAGAAGCCTTTCTGTCCGGAAATAACATTGGGAATCCCACCTGCGAATCTCTAGAATCTCAACCGGTAATCCCACCCTGAAACCCAGGGAGATAAGCATGTGTAAAAGGCGCTATACGGTATCCAGTTGAATAACCCACCATCTATGAAACCTGACAGGTCTCGGCCGTTCTGGTAGACGAAGCTGTAGATGTCCTCGTAGTTGTCGATACTGTCCTTGGGGAGGCCTCTGATGACAAGGTTGGCCAGCTCGAACAGCTTGCTCACCTCGTTGGACTTGGCATGGATGAAGACATCACCGCCTGGAGACAGAAGTTGGTCTGGATGTCAACTCTCTACAGCACACAAAACTATACCTACACTGAAGACATCACCGCCTGGAGACAGAAGCCAACTCTCTACACCACATACACTAAGATATATAGGAAGGAAGTAGTTCCTGTCTTTAATATTGATTTAATTTTCCTTTCATTAAGCGAGATACATTTGTTCTCATCACGCGTTGCCGGGATCAAACCAATACCAAGTCTTCTATTTAGGCAGACTCTTTCACTGGACAACAGGCGGTCAACATTTCGAGTTCCTCTCTCACCTGAGCTTGGCATGTCCCCCAGGGCGCCCTTTCTGTAGGGGTAGGTGTAGTTCTTCCTGGTCTTCCCGGCAACCTGGACAGAAACGTGACGTTAGTGTGAAGCCAAGCAACGGTGGAACTGCTGTGGAAGTTCTCAATGAGCAACGTTTCAACCAGATTGTGCGAGTGTCCATCCTACTGGCTTCACGTGACAAGCAATCAACCATGTGACTGGACCACGTGATCAATTAAGTCGCGACCAGCATTTGCAATGGTTGGGTCCTATCTAACTCGGAGTAGTCACAACCGGCTCATTCCACCATCACAGCATCCATTCTGCCGTGGCCATCTCTACCTGTCTTATGATGAACATATCAAAGACGCTGCTCATTGTCTAAAAGGTTATTCTCATGTGCTTGGAATCGGATTTTAAACCAAGCTGGGTAGTGAATAGGTCCAGAGTACATGATAATGTGTAGACATGTATATCATATTCTGAAACACCCAGGATACTGGGAGTCTGCCCTGGTTCCTGTCAAGGAAATATCTCCCTGTCAATCTAATGACTCGCTGCCATGATATCCATCTAATCCACATTCTACACGTGGCTCAGCAGAGAAACACGACTAACCTGTCCAAAAAAGTTGGGGCCGAACCCGACCCCTGCCCAGATCTCGTCGTCCTCGTCTCGCATGTTTGGGTCAACGACCTGATCAACGTAACGCTGCAACTTGGCAACAGATCGGGCCACCTCCCGGGCGTTAGCAGTGGGTTTGAGGTTGATCCACAGGTAGAGGGCGTGGTCCTTGCCCTGGGAGTACACCTGTCAGGACAAGAGTAAATGTACTTACACCCAAGTCATATATTCAAGTTATGAGAGAAGAAATATATTGAAAAATGGTAAATCTAAATATCCTAAATCCCGCGATACCTCGTTATACCACAGTCCTGGGAATCATCTGAAACACCTAACACCTGAGTTTACTGTCTACACTGATGTAACATCGCTGTGCAAATTTTGTAAATCCACAGCAATTTGTGCTCACACTGGAGTTTACGTCCATAACTCACAATATGCTGAAGTAATTGTTGCAAATATATATGTCCCTAATAACAGATTTGTAGAATGCCTACTGAATTACCAGCACAATTGCACTCTAGACAATCATGCTAAGTTACATGAGTTACACCATTCAGTGTTAAACTGTCAAACATTCTGTTTTCAAACAATCAGGAAAGTGTAGTCTTGATAGGGGGCGTTACCTACATTACTTTCGGGTTTTTCAAAACAAACAAACACTGATTTGAAGAAAGTTCAATGCTAAAGATTCCCTTTTAGTGTGTTTTCGTGAATTAAATTTAACTTGACATGCAGTGTTATTGGAAGTATTTCCAGTAAGGACTTAGGTACAATACTGTTAGAATTTCTTAAGGGACGTAGCAAGTTCGATCTTTCACTGTGAATGTGTTGTAGTCTTGTGTTACTTGGGACTGATCTCCATATTCACTCACAGAAGGCTGGCTCTCTGGAACATTGGCAGCATGTACTTTCATTGGCTGGACGGACTTGAGGGCGTCACGCACTCCATCAGGGTAGATCTTGTAGGCCCCGTACCCCAGCGCACCTGCTGTGATGGCGCCCAGTAGGAGGGGTCGTGCACTCCTGTAGGCACCTGAACTCGCCTTACCACTGATGGGGCGGCTGGCTGATTGAAAAAAAATATTATGAAAAGATCTTAATCAGTGACAAAGGAAATTATGTTAGATTATACAAGATCTTAATCAGTGACAAAGGAAATTATGTTAGATTATACAAGCAAAATCATTCCTTAGTTTTTACAGAGATGAACATGACTGAATCAGCCTTCACACATTAATTATCGGAATCATGTGTAAGATAGAAAATTATTACCATAACTACATATACTTTCCAACGTTTATTTTAATTTGAAAGATATAAATTTGAGTTCCTTAATAAACAGGACAATTACATCTTTCGACGCATATCGTTATCTCAAATTGTAAAAGGACTGTACAGGGTCAAGGCCTCGTCAAGGCCTCATCTCGGCCCAGACGGGAGATTAGGTAACTGTGTCTGACAGTTATATATGATGTGTGTTTTGTTGACATTCACAACTTTACATATCCGTTCCAGGACAATCACAGTCACAACCGAGAACCCTAAAACACAGTTTGATGTACGAGAATTACGGATCTGTGACACCAGGTGCGTCAATAAACTCAGAAACTAAACAATACCATATAAAAACGCATCTACATTTTACGTAACTTCACAACAGAACACGTTTCCTCGTGTATAAGCAAGCATGTTTACACACATCCGAACACGTCGCACAAACGGTACTTGGACAGTTTGCCTTGAATAGGGTGGAGTTGAGGGAAAGCTGGTTTAAGGCGAGTGTATATGTAACTAAATTTACTCTAATTTTGAAACCCCTTGCTAAATGGTTTAAGATAAAAAAAACCCACACCAAACACAGTTTATACCACCGATTATGGATGGGCAGGTCGTGAACTTTTCACCGAAAGCATCACAAAAGCTGGCCTTGCAAATATAGACCAGTTACACAAACGTGACACAGCAAAACGCTCCACTCTTCGGTGTCGGGACTGGGATCATAACTCACAGTCCATGCCAAAATAGGTTTTTTTGCACGGATATATTTAATACAACTAACATTTATCTAATTTGGCAAGAAATGTTTACCTAAATTGAATGACGTGTATCTGAGGACCTAAGTGAGAGTTACTCACTCCTAGAGAGTTGATCGAGAGTTGACTGACAGAATGGGTGGTGATTGATATAGCTGGAAACAGCCAGAGAAATATTCCTGCTTCAGACAAGACAAGCTGTTTGTTGATAGACTTTTTTCGCCATTTACATTTAACAGACTGCTGATATAGCATGTTATTCGTCTACACCGCATATTCAGCCTTGAATTGAGGGAATAATTCACGTATAGCACGTGCATATTTCAGATACGCGTCGATAAATCTGACACGGATATGACACGTTTGTACAAGTGAGTAACTCTGTACAACATCGCTGTGTATCGTGCATGCTGTAAGCGTTGTTATACCAGGGTAACTAGGTCGCGTTGTTCTGCCTCGCGTTCTCGCTGTTTCACCACATTCGGCTCATTATAACACCTGTCAACCATCTAATATTGTCACTTTACGTTCAGTGTCGCATGCATGGCTGTCGAATTGAGTCTTACCTGTTCTCCCGAAGCGTACCGCCTGCCTCAGCAAGGTCTGGGTTGAACGAAGGGTCGACATGTTTGTCTCTCACTGCTCTGAGTGTAGAGAAGCTTCCAGGTTTGTGGGAGAATGCTGTGGTCACGTGGGATAAGGACAAGCTAGACTGGTTCACGATCGCTGTGACTTAATTGCGCTCCTATTATCGTATTGAACAAATGAGTGACTGATGAAATATGTACAGCTGAATATTTCCATATTATGGTCTTTTTAGATTCAGACCGGGGGTAACACCAGGTGGAGAGGTGAATTACACGAACTGCCTTTCGGTTACATAAGGGATGCATAAAAATGGGTAACCTAGCAACGCTTCCGAATGATGCAATAATTATAGCTCGTTATCTGTGAAAATGATGATCCAGGAACTAAAATGTTCTAGGAGCCATGAAAGCGAAAAGAAATGAGGGCATTCACCGCCCTGCCCTCCACCCCTCCTCCCCAACCCCCGAGGCTATCCGATAAAGTTTTCCCGTGTGGACCCGGGTAAGAAATCAACATGCTTGGTTGGTTGGTTGTTTAACGCTGCACTCAGCAACATTCCAGCTATTATTCCAGCTGTAAATAATCGAGTCTGGACCAGACAATCCAGTGATCAACAGCATGAGCATCAATCTACGCAGTTGGGATACGATGACATGTGTCAACCAAGTCAGTGAGCCTGACCACCCGACCCGTTAGTCGCCTCTTACGACAAGCATGGGTTACTGAAGATCAATTCTAACCCGGATCTTCACGGGTAAAAATCAGCATGCACCTCGATGCACCGTAATGGGTTTTCTGAATAAACCAACAACAAACAAGCTATAATGATCTTGTTGATTGGTCTTGTTGATTGGTCTTGTTGATTGATTGGTCTTGTTGATTGATTGGTCTTGTTGATTAGTCTTGTTGATTGGTCTTGTTGACTGGTCTTGTTGATTGGTCTTGTTGACTGGTCTTGTTGATTAGTCTAGTTGACTGGTCTTGATTGATTGGTCTTGTTGATTGATTGGTCTTGTTGACTGGTCTTGTTGACTGGTCTTGTTGATTGGTCTTGTTGACTGGTCTTGTTGATTAGTCTTGTTGACTGGTCTTGTTGATTGGTCTTGTTGATTGGTCTTGTTGACTGGTCTTGTTGACTGGTCTTGTTGACTGGTCTTGTTGACTGGTCTTGTTGACTGGTCTTGTCTTGTTGAGTCTTGTTGGCTAGTCTTGTTTGACTGGTCTTGTTGACTGGTCTTGTTGATGACTGGTCTTGTTGACTGGTCTTGTTGACTGGTCTTGTTGATTGGTCTGGTCTTGTTGACTGGTCTTGTTGGTCTTGTTGACTGGTCTTGTTGACTGGTCTTGTTGACTGGTCTTGTTGACTGGTCTTGTTGGTCTTGTTGACTGGTCTTGTTGACTGGTCTTGTTGACTGGTCTTGTTGACTGGTCTTGTTGACTGGTCTTGTTGACTGGTCTTGTTGACTGGTCTTGTTGACTGGTCTTGTTGACTGGTCTTGTTGACTGGTCTTGTTGACTGGTCTTGTTGACTGGTCTTGTTGGTCTTGTTGACTGGTCTTGTTGACTGGTCTTGTTGACTGGTCTTGTTGACTGGCCTTGTTGACTGGTCTTGTTGACTGGTCTTGTTGACTGGTCTTGTATTAATGCCACCCGATGACGTGGATCGTTTTAGTTAATGGTGTGGCTGAGGTGTAAAACAACATTCATACAATGACGTAGATTAAAATAGCTGAGTTCCTATATTTAAATATTCATAAGTGGCAGACGTAGATGTTAGCTTACAACTACCCCGACTAAACTCCAGATCAAGGACACCCGGATGTTGTTACTTGCCTCTCCTCCACAGATGAATGTTACACAGCACGTGCGAGGGGATTGGTGTTGTAACATCCAGTGGATTGCGTCTTCAATGTCTGGGGTATTGTTAGTCCTATATCCGAGTTGACTGTTTTTTAAACAAACACAAAAAGACCAAAACGCATAACGTATTTCAGGGAAAAATACATGTCTCCTGCAGAAAGGACACAGCTTTTATTAACGCCGCTTTGGGGAGTTTACATGCCCGTAATATCTTCTTCAGAATAACGGGGCGGTTGGGTAGCATAGTGGTTAAAGCGGGTTCGATTCCCCACATGGACACAATGTGTGAAGCCCATTTATTTATTGTCCCCGCCGGGATATTGCTGGAATATTGCTAAAAAGCGGCGTAAAAAATAATTCACTCACTCACTTCAGAATAACAGCGACAAAACCCTTTCTACGCCTGAAGGTGAGGTGAGGCGAAATTGGGTTTTACGTCGTGCTTGAGAATATTTCGCTCATATGACGACGTGCATGTGTGTGTATGTGTATGTGTATGTGTGGCTGCTTGTACTAGCCCAGACTTAAGCTGGTTTTATAGTGCTAGCCCACTGAGATACCATGCCGCAGTGAAGCATGAATACCCCACTCAGACACATTATACTGACTCCGAGCCGACCAGTCCTTGTTGTACCCATTAATGCCGAGCGCCAGGCAGGGACCAACAAGTACCATATTTTAACGTCTTTTGGTATGACGCGGTCGGGGATCGAACCCGCGACCTTCCGCTCTCCGGGCGGACGCTCTAACCACTACACCACGGAGGCGGTCTTCTACGTCTGAAGGTAATGCCCATTCGATTGTGTAGTTCCTTAAGTATGTGAATCATTATCAGATAGTGAAGATACAAGAAGTTCGCGAAAAGATGGCACCCGGCATAAACAGACGCAAAGGCTACTCATTTCACGACTCAGTTGTCCAAACTTTGACATTGTGGTTTAAACTTGGAACCTACACTGGAGCTCCATCGAGAACCTTCGTATTGGCATGGTATCTCAGTGGGCTAGCACTATAAAACCAGCATCAGTCTGGGCTAGTACAAGCAGCCGCACATACACATACACACGCATGCACGTCGTCATATGAGCGAAATATCCTCAAGTACGACGTTAAAACCCAGTTTCACCTCACCTCACACGTGCGTGATGTGAACTTATCGTCAGTGTGACTTGAGTGTGCAATACATTATTGATGATTTAGAAACATTGTAATACCATGTCTGTGATTTTAGTAAGGGGCATATTCGACATATAAAAATACCCAAACCGATATAATATTTCTTTTTCGAATATCTATCTATGGAATGTTTTTAATGAAAATCTTACAGAGCTGTCAATTAAGAGTTTTATAAAATTTTCCATTTAGATCTGTGTGTAGACTGAATCCCATAGTCTACATATTGTGGCATCTTGAATTAATGAATTAATTTGAAGACAATAATCAGTTGACTAACATATGGATTTGGATGACGGTAGTGGCAGTGCATGCAGTTACACTGGCGACCTGTGGTCAGTAGATGTTGCAACTCAGGTGGTGGAGTAGCAACGCCGGGGACGGAGATTAGGGGACCGCACCAGACAAGCAAGACCCCCTGAATGTAGCGAAGGAAATGGCCCTGGGTCCTATCCCCCAAAGCAATCGCAATGCTTTGAAATCGACAATGGCTGTACCATGTCAACCTTGTGGAACTGGGCCCAGTCTCATCAGGGTACCGAGGGAAATTGTAAATTCTGGTGTACACTCCCAATATATTCTGCGTACAAGGTGTCTAGGATGAGTTAAGCACAGGACGTCGACCCTTGGGTGAAATGTCACGGTTCAGTTAAGAAAAAAGGTCGACGTCCTGTCCATTTGACCTTATACCAATTAACAGGGGATTAGAAAAGACAAAGAAATAATCCAGTGTTTTCACAAGGCGATAATCCAGATTATGCGGTTGAGAACACAGACAACAGGAGAAAAGTACTATAATTCGTCCATTTTATTTCGTATACAAAATCATCCAACATGAAGTAGGTGAGATGCACCATTTGCAAACTGGTTCATCTGAAAGATAGTAAAAGTAGATTTATTATTTCTTTTTACACATTCTTTTACACAGACCACGTTACACCACTCTACTGCTATATATAAATTGTTAGAATTGTTAACAAAATCTATTAAACGATATGCAAAACATGGTCACGTACATTATTCAGATTTGATATATCTATTTTACTTTTATATTTTCCTTAGTAACAGATTGATATCAGGCATTGACAAGATGCTTACCTTTATGTCTACTTGGACACGGGGATGAGCATGGTCACCTTTCACCATCGTCACAATGTCATTGACAGTTGACGCAGTGAAATTACACTTCTTTTCTGTGCACTTCCAGGATATCCAATTTCGCTTCACTCATAAATCCACCAACACACAGGTATCTTCCACCACGAGATGTAACTGTGTATTTGTCATATCGAAATTGAATGCAATCTACCGCGTGTTCCTTCCTTAAATATGTTCATCATTGTGAATTCACTCTCATATGTATGATAACATTGATGACATTTTGAGTGAAATATGTTCACGCCTTACGCGATGCTTCGGTTATGGAAAATCTTAAAACAACACCTACTAGCGGATTAGCGTGACTCTAGCAACGCCTTCAACATCAAAGTTTACCGCGGGTCGACTTCGTGTCCATAGCGAAATTTCAAAAGGTCGACTTCTTGTCCATAAACCATCAGATACACAGTTGATTTCTCACACATCCACCATGAACATCAGCCACAGCCGTCACTGCTCGATCTATCTGTACACAAAGTTGAGTGGAACAGTCTCAAAATAAATGACCTCAGTTTGTCAAAAGCTTTTACAGAAGAAGACGTTGACCAGAAGGTTATTTCTTCAACACAAACGTGGTGTGGTGTCGACGCAGTTTCAGCTGGCCGTTTACCTTTAATCACGTCGATCTGATGCCGGTGGATGCTGAGTGACGTGATGCAGCATGATGGATGGGAACAGTTTTCCCAATGGACTGGTAGACATACGGACGGACGACAGAAAGAGTCACGTGACATACATTAACCTTGACAATATGAAGATGGGCTCAAATGGACAGAGCCTGCATTCGTCAAATTATTTCCACTTCAATAGAGGGACGTTTGTCAGCAAGCTGTGCCGACCCATCTAATGGAGCAGTTGTACTGATTGTACTGACACAATACAGTTTAATTAAATCTAATTCAGTCCAGATATGTTCGTTGCATTCACACAATAACTATCTATGATAATCTCTCGAGCCTACATAATTCCTCAATACATGAACCACTGCTTGCTTCCAAATGTGAAATATACCAGTTGGATAATTTTGCATCTGTGGTTGTTAATATACATTTCGAATAAGGTTATGAATATGCAGGATAATAATAACACTCTATTCGCCCGAAAGGGAATTTGTTGTACGTCAGCTGCTGTGATACATAGAGCAATAAATAGTACATGTAACAGTATGAGAATCACCAAAACAACACAGTATTTACACAAGGGGACTATGACGTGACACACATAACAACACAGTATTTACACAAGGGACTATGACGTGACACACATAACAACACAGTATTTACACAAGGGGACTATGACGTGACACACATAACAACACAGTATTTACACAAGGGGACTATGACGTGACACACATAACAACACAGTATTTACACAAGGGGACTATGACGTGACACACATAACAACACAGTATTTACACAAGGGGACTATGACATGACACACATAACAACACAGTATTTACACAAGGGGACTATGACGTGACACACATAACAACACAGTATTTACACAAGGGACTATGACGTGACACACATAACAACACAGTATTTACACAAGGGGACTATGACGTGACACACATAACAACACAGTATTTACACAAGGGGACTATGACGTGACACACATAACAACACAGTATTTACACAAAGGGACTATGACATGACACACATAACAACACAGTATTTACACAAGGGGACTATGACATGACACACATAACAACACAGTATTTACACAAGGGGACTATGACGTGACACACATAACAACACAGTATTTACACAAGGGGACTATGACGTGACACACATGACACACATAACAACACAGTATTTACACAAGGGGACTATGACATGACACACATAACAACACAGTATTTACACAAGGGACTATGACGTGACACACATAACAACACAGTATTTACACAAGGGGACTATGACGTGACACACATAACAACACAGTATTTACACAAGGGGACTATGACGTGACACACATAACAACACAGTATTTACACAAGGGGACTATGACGTGACACACATAACAACACAGTATTTACACAAAGGGGAATGGGGACTATGACGTGACACATAACAACACAGTATTTACACAAGGGGACTATGACGTGACACACATAACAACACAGTATTTACACAAGGGGACTATGACATGACACACATAACACACACAGTATTTACACAAGGGGACTATGATGACACACATAACAACACAGTATTTACACAAGGGGACTATGACGTGACACACATAACAACACAGTATTTACACAAGGGGACTATGACGTGACACACATAACAACACAGTATTTACACAAGGGGACTATGACGTGACACACATAACAACACAGTATTTACACAAGGGACTATGACATGACACACATAACAACACAGTATTTACACAAGGGGACTATGACGTGACACACATAACAACACAGTATTTACACAAGGGGACTATGACTATGACACACATAACAACACAGTATTTACACAAGGGGACTATGACGTGACACACATAACAACACAGTATTTACACAAGGGGACTATGACATGACACACATAACAACACAGTATTTACACAAGGGGACTATGACGTGACACACATAACAACACAGTATTTACACAAGGGGACTATGACATGACACACATAACAACACAGTATTTACACAAGGGGACTATGACGTGACACACATAACAACACAGTATTTACACAAGGGGACTATGACGTGACACACATAACAACACAGTATTTACACAAGGGGACTATGACGTGACACACATAACAACACAGTATTTACACAAGGGGACTATGACGTGACACACATAACAACACAGTATTTACACAAGGGGACTATGACGTGACACACATAACAACACAGTATTTACACAAGGGGACTATGACGTGACACACATAACAACACAGTATTTACACAAGGGGACTATGACGTGACACACATAACAACACAGTATTTACACAAGGGACTATGACGTGACACACATAACAACACAGTATTTACACAAGGGGACTATGACGTGACACACATAACAACACAGTATTTACACAAGGGGACTATGACGTGACACACATAACAACACAGTATTTACACAAGGGGACTATGACGTGACACACATAACAACACAGTATTTAAACAAGGGGACTATGACGTGACACACATAACAACACAGTATTTACACAAGGGGACTATGACGTGACACACATAACAACACAGTATTTACACAAGGGGACTATGACATGACACACATAACAACACAGTATTTACACAAGGGGACTATGACATGACACACATAACAACACAGTATTTACACAAGGGGACTATGACGTGACACACATAACAACACAGTATTTACACAAGGGGACTATGACATGACACACATAACAACACAGTATTTACACAAACACAGTATATGACATGACACACATAACAACACAGTATTTTACACAAGGGACTATGACGTGACACACATAACAACACAGTATTTACACAAGGGGACTATGACGTGACACACATAACAACACAGTATTTACACAAGGGGACTATGACGTGACACACATAACAACACAGTATTTACACAAGGGGACTATGACGTGACACACATAACAACACAGTATTTACACAAGGGGACTATGACATGACACACATAACAACACAGTATTTACACAAGGGACTATGACATGACACACATAACAACACAGTATTTACACAAGGGGACTATGACATGACACACATAACAACACAGTATTTACACAAGGGGACTATGACATGACACACATAACAACACAGTAGTATTTACACAAGGGACTATGACATGACACACATAACAACACAGTATTTACACAAGGGGACTATGACGTGACACATAACAACACAGTATTTACACAAGGGGACTATGACACACAGTACACAACACACAGGGGACTATGACATGACACACATAACAACACAGTATTTACACAAGGGGACTATGACATGACACACATAACAACACAGTATTTACACAAGGGGACTATGACGTGACACACATAACAACACAGTATTTACACAAGGGGACTATGACATGACACACATAACAACACAGTATTTACACAAGGGGACTATGACATGACACACATAACAACACAGTATTTACACAAGGGACTATGACGTGACACACATAACAACACAGTATTTACACAAGGGGACTATGATGACACACACACATAACAACACAGTATTTACACAAGGGGACTATGACATGACACACATAAGTCAGTAACAAACGTAGCTGTATCATGTACTCACCACGCTGCCGTTCCCCGCCCTTTACTATTGTGAGACCTGGAAGCATCCCTGTGAGTCCTGGCTTGTGACCAGACAGCCCAGTCACACATCTCCAGTAGGTCCTGGCTTGTGACCAGACAGTCCAGTCACACATCTCCAGTAGGTCCTGGCTTGTGACCAGACAGCCCAGTCACACATCTCCAGTAGGTCCTGGCTTGTGACCAGACAGCCCAGTCACACATCTCCAGTAGGTCCTGGCTTGTGACCAGACAGCCCGGTCACACATCTCCAGTAGGTCCTGGCTTGTGACCAGACAGCCCAGTCACACATCTCCAGTGGGCCTTGGCTTGTGACCAGAGAGCCCAGCCCAGTCACACATCTCCAGTGGGCCCTGGCTTGTGACCAGACAGCCCAGCCACACATCTCCAGTAGGTCCTGGCTTGTGATCAGACAGCCCAGTCACACATGTCCAGTGGGTCCTGGCTTGTCACACATCTCCAGTGGGTCCTGGCTTGTGACCAGACATCCCAGTCACACACACCAGACAGCCCGGTCACACATCTCCAGTAGGTCCTGGCTTGTGACCAGACAGCCCAGTCACACATCTCCAGTAGGTCCTGGCTTGTGACCAGACAGCCCAGTCACACATCTCCAGTAGGTCCTGGCTTGTGACCAGACAGCCCAGTCACACATCTCCAGTAGGTCCTGGCTTGTGACCAGACAGTCCAGTCACACATCTCCAGTAGGTCCTGGCTTGTGACCAGACAGCCCAGTCACATCTCCATTGTCCAGACAGCCCAGTCACACATCTAGGTCCTGGCTTGTGACTAGACAGCCCAGTCCCACATCTCCAGTAGGTCCTCTCCAGGTCCTGGCCCAGCTTCTCCAGATCAGACAGACCCAGTCACACATCTCCAGTGGGCCTTGACTTGTGATCAGACAGCCCAGTCACACATGTCCAGTGGGCCTTGGCTTGTGACCAGAGAGCCCAGTCACATATCTCCAGTGGGTCACACTCAGGTCAGGGCCCCGTCACATACCGACACCACAGCATAACACTCCTACCCTGACAATGCCACTTACACCAGGAAATATTATCTCTGTTCAACATAGACTGACATCGTGCGGTTGTGATCCGCCTTTGGCCTGGTGTAGGTTGGTACTTTGCCCCGACAGGGTTCTGTGTATACTCGATATAACAGACTGTCTTCACTGGCCATTGTATCGAGCAGCCATATATATCATTATTCAAACCAACCATAGACATGGCGTACATTGAACTGTGTAACGTATGATTTGTAGCCCCGCCATCAGTAGTATTCCGGCTAAATGACGGTGATCTGTAAATAATCAAGGCGTTGGTATTGTGAGGAACGACCTTCTCTGCTGGGATCCGCCATCAACCACACCACCTGATGTGTCAACTTTTACGACCGGCATTCAAGTCAAACCAACCCCCGTAAATCCTGCCTCGAAAAGTTTAAAAGACATTATCCTGGCAAAAACTTAGTTCATGTTATTTATTTTAGTATGATGCAGCAAATATTTTAATTTAGTGTTCAGGTTATTGTTTTAAGCAGGGGTTGATAAAGTCTTTCCAGTAAAGGATGGACCAATTCATTCTAAGACGCACTTCCTACGGGTTTGTTACAGTGGGAGCTCCGGGTTCATAGACGTATTGACACTTTAACGTATACAATATAGGCGTGTCTCATAAAATGCTTGTTCAAGTTTATGGTAGGGACGTAAGTTTAGACGAGTCCATGCTCAGGGATAATACGATCCCATTAAGTTTGACTGGGGTCAATAAAAAAACCACTTTGTATGTAAACTTGAATTGTATTAGGTATATCATTCTAACAGTTCTTGAATACCTCCGTATAACACAGACCGTATATCACCCCATATAGATCTACGTCATCAACTATAGAGCATGCTCCGCAGACAATATTAGAACTTTATCAAACTAAGTATCTGTCCATGAAGATCTAATCAAGCAACTGATTCTTTTCAATCTGCTATTTGGAATAGGATCCAATCAACTTGTTTAACTTCAAAGATTTTGATTAATTAGTATCCAATCGATTTCTTTAACGTTTTTATTTGTATCCGATCAGCTTGTTTAACTATTTTAAATAGTATCCGATCAACTTGTTCAACTATTTTAAATAGTATCCGATCAACTTGTTCAACTATTTTAAATAGTATCCGATCAACTTGTTCAACTATTTTAAATAGTATCCGATCAACTTGTTCAACTATTTTAAATTGTATCCGATCAACTTGTTCAACTATTTTAAATTGTATCCGATCAGCTTGTTCAACTATTTTAAATTGTATCCGATCAACTTGTTCAACTATTTTAAATAGTATCCGATCAACTTGTTCAACTATTTTAAATAGTATCCGATCAACTTGTTCAACTATTTTAAATAGTATCCGATCAACTTGTTCAACTATTTTAAATAGTATCCGATCAACTTGTTCAACTATTTTAAATTGTATCCGATCAACTTGTTCAACTATTTTAAATTGTATCCGATCAACTTGTTCAACTCTTTTAAATTGTATCCGATCAACTTGTTCAACTATTTTAAATTGTATCCGATCAGCTTGTTTAACTATTTTAAATTGTATCCGATCAACTTGTTCAACTATTTTTAATTGTATCCGATCAACTTGTTCAACTATTTTGATTAGTATCCAATCACTTTGTTCAACTATGTTGATTAATATTCGATGAACTTGTTCAACTATTTTTATTAGCATCCAATCATTTTGTGCAACATAATTACTACAGTTTTTTCTGTCTTAATTTCCTGTGTTATTCCATGCTACCTGCAATGTATCATTGTCAGTAATAATCTGCGGCTATCACAACATATAACCTCTCATTTATTAATGCATCTCCATGAACACGTTGCCGATTACTACAAATCATGGACTTATTATAAATAACGTTTCATGTTTTCTTAGGAGAGTTTTGTTTCTGAAACAGAATTGGCTGGTCCTTAACTTCCCGTGAGTAGTATATGCTATATAGACATGGGTGACACGTGCTTCTTAAACATACACCTCAGTCAGATAGTGTTTTACACCTGAGTCAGATAGTGTTTTACACCTCAGTCAGATAGTGTTTTACACCTCAGTCAGATAGTGTTTTACACCTCAGTCAGATAGTGTTTTGAGAGGCCGACAGTTTGTTCATGTTTCGTCTGCCTATCAATCTGTCTGTGGATGGAGAAGTACATCCGAGTTCACCGAGTGCATCTTGCCTGTTTCATTCATAAGTCAACGCTACCATACATACATTAGTGCATGAAATCACGATGCCCTTTTCACAACATACACACAAAAATTCTACATATGTGGATCATAAGACGCGACATAACGGGTGTACATTTAACCTTTTTAAAGACAATCTCCGCCCGAGTGATTTCGTGTTATACAACTACAGTGGTACCAGCTCACCACGCCACCCCGTTCACGCACACCCTCAGGTAAACTCGTCTCGCTCACACTGTACCTGAAGTTATGAAACCCCTTCCACGCCACACATGACTGCCTGCCCGTAGGTGGTCTGTTATACCGGGGGCGTGTCAATACAATGTCAGGTATGTATTAATGGCTCGGTTGACATGACACACAGGGGCACACCGCTACAGTAGAACCTCGCTATAAGGCGACGTATGGTCGGCGCGTTTTCCACCTGAAAAGGGTGAACTGTCTTTTTTATAAGTTATTTTTAAATATACGTGATACGTGTCTCGTCGGCCAAAAGGATTTGTAGGACTCGCTTTGAAAGATTTTTATCTTTCTTGCAACATATGACACTAATAATCTTCAAGTTCTTGTTCTTTTTCATCTTGTCCTAGATTTACCTTCAGTAATGTGTGTCTTGTGTCACTATATTCCGGTCATGTTAAAACGTTAATTTTTAATCTGATTTAAAAAAATACGATTAAACGCCAATGATTAGGTTTGGCACATTGCCACCATGTTGGGAATCAAACTGTGCTGTCTGCGTGAAGAGTCAACGCTAAAACCAATATTAGCTACCCTATTCCTTTTGAAGGGCCTTAAAATAAGGGAGCGTGCCTATAATATTACAGGCGCCCTGGAATCAGCATTATTTCAAGGAGGCCCTTGAACGGAACTATCTTCTAAAGTGGTTTGTAACAGGCCGCATATGCTGCTTCAAGCAGCCTTACCTAAACAAGAAATATTTCTTTCTACTCCTAAAGACAGTCTTATTTCACTAACTAAAGTACATCAAATTTACCCACGTATGTACTCCGCACTAAGACACCATTGGCACTTTGATTAACAGGCGCCCCTCATGTCACACGTGGACGGACAACTAACCGTAATAACGCACATTCAGCAATATTCCTGCTATACGACAGTGGTCGGTCAATAATAAGTGTCTTGACCAGACAACATATAGTCTGTTATTTTGAACAACGGTCCACGGTGCGATTGGGGTACGATGACATGCCATACCTTGTCACCAAGTTTCGTGTTCGCTTCGTTGGCTTCACAGGGGCTTGTATATCCTTTTATATAGTGATAAGACCCCGTTAGTGACAGTACATGCCCTGACGGCAGTTTTTAGCGTCCGACATTTAGTAACCTGATATGGATTTTACAGGCTGATTACTGCTGGATGTCGCATGTTTTCGTTGAAACTTAGAGCAATCTTTTTTATATTATTAAAATACTGCATTATATCTATACTATTTTTTATTTTGTTTTCCGGATAACATTCCATGTCAAAAGGCGGTGGTTAACAAGCCATACAGACTTATCTCCCTTGGATCATAACAAATTTCACCAGACACTATCTGTGCATGGAGAAGTCCATGAAGCACTGTCAAGTTAGCTCAGAGGCAGGGTTTTGGGGTCCTCATTAAACACCTGCTTGTCAACGTCAAGTGGTTTCACGACCATCCAGTTCTGGACACCTTGACTGTACAGATGTGGCCTTCTTGTTCCAGACACATGATGGAAACTGGGCAATTCATATCCAGGCATTTTATGTGGCCTCTTACACAAATACAGAACAACTTATACACCTATTTTATGGATCTCCTGGTATCCAAAGTAATCATTACAGCCACATATATGATGCAATAATCGGAGGCCTAGATCTTCATGAACAACTGACAGAGAACATCAGGTTTGAATTGGTCTAAGCAAGCCATCTTGTCACAAACAAACCAACTGAAGGAAAACAAAGGCCTGTTTACTTATGGTTTGATTTATTCCTGATGGATGTTACTGGTTTCTGGACATACATCTGGACACAAGAATGTCACATGAATGGAATGAAACACAACACTGCAAATGACCAACGACATTATGACCTACATCACCCATAAATGCCCTTGCTTTGCTGATCCGAAAATTTAATAATATACACATCCCCTCCCTTCACAAAATACTTTGAAATGTAAATCTTGACACCTTTTGGAGAAATTCACATGAAATACTTTTGATTAATGATGCCAGAGGACTTGAAATGAACTCATGAAAAACAAGAACCACAAAATGGCCTTGTCTTATTTAAGACCTTGAAGCATGCATAAAATATGATAATGTATATAATGTTCACTCAGGAAGAGACGACAGTTATATCATTACATCATAAAATGGCCATCCACCACTGAAACTGACACTGTTCGTGTCCAAGTCTTGGAGTCTTGTGCCACATCTAGAAATATTCCAGGAATTACAAGCAACTTTGCAGACATGTATATGAATCATTGAAAATGCACACAATACGTTTAGAAGAAACAAAGTATAGTGTATGATTTATCATGTTCAAAGGAAGTTTTAAAGATCTTTCTCAGATAATCCATCTAAATGTACATTGTGTCATATGCATCCCAATCCACACTGAATCTCAACTATCTCATATTAACACAATATGGCATCATCCTGAGAGTACAGCATTGTATAAGCTGTGTCAGCTCAAGGTGATGCATACTCTGATGAATAGATCTGCTTTGTAGCAGGTTTGTAGCATAGAACAAGATGTCAGTATAGTGTGTATCACACCCATGTTATAACAAGTCCTACTTCCTGCACTGTACATGCAATATAATACTGTTTATCTAGTTGTATCAATACACCCATACAGTATAACATGTAACAAAGATTATTGTACTTTCACACCTCATATCACATTCAAGCTACAGCACAAAGACCTCATGATTTAAACACCCCGACAAGCGCTGGTCTGATTGTCCTTTCTTGTAGCTTATAACCGATTTTCTGTACTACTGCAACAGTTCCACCCTCCTTCTCAGTTGTAGGGACTTCGAACAATGCCTCATGAAGATAGGGGTCAAACTTGTCCCCTTCTGATGGAGATATCTTGTGCAACCCGTGTCTGATGAACACCTTCTGTAGCTGGGATTCCGTCATTGTCAGTCCATCGAACAAATTCTTGAGATGAGGGTTGTTAGAGATCTCTTGTTGCGGGACACTCTCGTTCGCCTTGCCTAGAATGTCGGCCACCTCCAACATGTCCTTACAGAAAGCTTGGATGCCGAATATCTTTGCGTCCTCCACCTGTTTTTTCATCCTCTGTCGGACATTTTCTGTTTCGGCGAGGGAGCGCACATATTTGTCCTGAAGAAACAATGAATGAGAAAATCAGTGTCGTCTACAGTGCTGCAAGCATCATGACACAGTCTTATATAAAGTAGATGTTGGTGTTGCTCCCGCTAAACAGAAGGTGATGACATCACAGTACAGGACACATTAGAACAACGTTTTGCAAACTTTGACTGACCATAACATAATATAAGAAAGCAGCTTTCTCAAGTTTATAAAAACCAGTTTCAAAACAGAGACTTCCTTTCCAAAATATGCTTTGTTAGAAAATATTTGCATAAAGTTTTGATTCAAAATTGAAAACAGAAAATAACGTAAATTCAGGAATATCTGACAACTGCTCCAGATTGTATGTCAGTTGCTCTCACTGGCTACGGACAGTCTCTGTTATTTCACAAATGTTTCGACCACTGAATGTATCTTCTTAAGGCAAAAGTGTTCACTAGTCAAAATCAATACTAGAGTCTAGTTTCCACAGTTGACATTTCAAGCAGATTTTTCTCAGCCTGATCAAGGTGCCATCCAAACTAAGAGTGGCTCTTGTGATGAAAACATGATATCTACCCAGATAGCCTTTGTTATTTCAAATGGCTTCAAAAATAGTGAGCGAGTAAGGTTTTACGCTGTTTTAAGCAATATTGAAGGTGACACCAGAAATGGGCTTCACATTGTACCCATGTGGGGAATCAAACCCTGCACTTCACCAAGAAGACTACTACTGATCAGATAAACAAACGAGATTTAACCTCGGACAGACAAAATGTCCGGTCTGCCACAGTGTGGATCCTTGTCACAGGTGGTCATATAAGTGACCATGGTTTTAGGACAAGGATGTTGATGTTGTAAACTGTCCCTTGATTGATCAGTATGTATTTCAGAACAGTAGGCATGGACAAGCCAACGCGCAAGCTTGCTGCAAGAAGATGACTGTAACGTGAGACAGATAATGTCTATCATCAGGGCATGAAACTCCCAAAATTTCAGCCAGACCACAGGGCTGGTTAGATGTAAAACTTGCCAGCCCTGACCAAAACTTACCTGCCCACAAAAAATACTAAGTATATACGTCTAAATTTTAACCCGACTGTTGGTCAGGTGAATTTGAGAATCTGGCAGTTCCTGTTGAAAATTACCCGTCCCGGACGGTCGGGCAGGCAGCTATTTCGAATGCTGTTATCATTCAGAATCAGCCTTTCAGCTTCTAACTATTGTAGGGATGGTGGGGGTAGCCTAGTGGTTAAAGCATTCATTCATCACGCTGAAGGTCCGGGTTTGATTCCCCACATGGGTACAACATGTGAAGTCCATTTCTGGTGTCTCCTGCTAAAAGCAGCGTAAAACCCAACTCACTCACTGTAACTGTTGTCACGAATACATCAAGTTACCCTTTTCAAGGTGGCATGTTTAGAAAGCATCTTTGGACTGAGACTTTCGAGATTTCACACATAACTCTTTGATAGGTCGGATGAAAGGTCGTTCTGATGTGACCTGTTATAGAATGTCATCAGATGATTGTGTACCAGTTGCGCTGATGCAGACAAACCAGAGATCACAATCAGGGTAATACTGGCATTCAAACCCAGGATCATGGTGGGAGAGGCTGACGGACTTGGCTCAATTACCAATGCCAGTCGAAGTGTGAATATATATTTATTTCATTTGATAATAATAAAAGCCTCAAATGGATTGTGCTTAGTCGCAGTATAAGAATAACCCTTTTATCTAAATATGTTTTAAAATCATATTTATTCATTTAGCTAGTTAAGTGCTAGTGATCGTCCCAAATAAATTGAAATTGAAATTATTTCAGTTCAAGGGGGCACTACTCGAATACTTTGTAAGGAAACTATCAGTCACCATCCCCAAGAAATCTGGATAAATGTGCTGTGACTTTAGTTAGTCGCTGTCTGAATCCTTCACCCCCCGTCTCAAGCATTCGTGTAATAAACATTATGTTGGTCCTATAAAATGCACTTTCAGAACATACATCAACTGAAAAACATCCCAGAGATCAATTCTGGGTTATCTAATAATACAGGTATACTATTTACACTGTGTATACATTTAAAAACTGAAAAGTTCTGCGAATGATTTGGAATGATGAGAAGAATCTCACTGTAATGCCTTTTAATCATGTTAACATCAAATATACCTACCTGAGTCAACAAAAGCATAAATATCTGAGGCTTTAAACATCTATGTGTTGATATGTGATATAAAAAAAGCCCTTAGCAGAGCTACTACTTATAATGCCCTGTGAAAATATATGAAGAAGGAAATCTTGAAGCGGTCTCTGACATTTACTGACTTGCTAAAACATAAGCATGAGTTGGTGCAGACAAACCAAGCAAAATTGGGTGAATCTGGGATTTGAACCCAGGTTTTCTTGCAGTGCATTTAGACAATGGGGCCATACAGGCCCACTACACACTTTGTGATTAACGCACAAACATAGTGCCATAAATCAGTGCATTCAAACCATACATCACGGTTCACCGATAGTTCAGTCCAAATGATAAACTATTGATATTGATTGGTTAAAAAGATTTCCATTTTTGCCAATAGCTGCATAATGCATGCGTAATTATGTGCAAAGATTTAGGTCATGTACAAAATACTTCAGGTGATACAGTAAACGGTGCTAATAGCGATCTGACGAATAGTTTGTCTGTTTGTTCATAAATGCCAGTCAGCAATGTTCCAGCCATATAATGTCACTTGTCAGTCTGTAGGTAATCAAGCCTGGACCAGACAATGCAGTGATTGACATCATGAGCGTTGATGTATGCAGTAGGGACACAATAACATGCAGCAACCAGTGAACCTGACCATTTGATTCTATTAGTCACCTCTCAGAACAAGCAAGGGTTGCTGAAGATCAATTCTAACCAGATCTTCACTAGTCCTTATTACATTACACGACTGACACAGTGCTGGGTCGCCATTGTAACCAAGAGCTGTACCTTGAAGTCGGCCACCTGCACCTCCAGTTTAGCCTTATCCTCCACCAGCTGTTTCTCCACGGCCGATGTTTCCTCTACAGGGGCAGACTCAGATGGCTTCTCCTCCGTCGGCTTCTGCTCTGCTGTTGTTGATGGCTTACCATCAGTAGCGGTCGTTGTCATTCGGACTCGACAACATCTGCAGGTATCAGTAATGGAAGATTCAGTAGCTGCAATAAGCAGCAGGACAGGACATTTTTAACTGTTGCAATGAAGCTCTTACTGATGTAGGGTCAATGTTTGCACAAACATGCAAATTGCAATACTATTAGTTTAAAATACTGACATTAACAATTGTCATTAAATCTGAATGGTATAGTTACTCAAACATAAGTTAGAAGTAACCACAGTAACAAACTGACGATACCAGTGCAGATGAGATATCATACTGACTGAGTTTGGTTTTACGCCGCTATTAGCAATATTTCCAGCAACATCACGACGTGGAACACCTGAAATGGGCTTCACACATTGTACCCATGTGGGGATTCGAACCCGGGTCTTCGGCGTGACGAGCGGACACTTTAACCACTAGGCTACCTCACCGGCCCTGAGATACCATACATTTCTGTACCTATAAAACTACTGATGCAAGGGGTCTCAGATCCTCTCCCTATCTGCATCTTTTTGGAGAATTTTCCCCAGTTGGTGATGAACCTTATCACATGTCATTCAATCAAGGTGACAGCTTTCAAAAGGTTTAAGGAAGACATGTGAAAGACGTTTCCAACTTTGATGCATCACTGACAAAACTGATGTCCAGAGCAATTCCTATTTTGACTTGTACCACACACTCCCATGTTTTTTTTTTCAGGTAAACATAAAGCTGAAGATATAATTGGAATTGTACAATAGGTTCTGCCTTCAGTTGGATTTATCACGGATGTGGAAAGAGGTTTAACGCTTTAATGATAATCCATACACAAACATGTCACCACTCACCAATGATGTGAAATATATTTCCGATCTTATTGGCATTTTTGCTCTAAGTTACTTCTCCGTTATTTATCGATAATTGATCGATATATAAATTTAGTTAACGATTATCGATCTGTATGATCTATATCTATAGCCAGCCCTAAATGTTACATCAGTGATACCCACATTTCATCCATATTTAGATATTTTTTAGTCTCAGACAAATGCACTTGTGGACATGCTGAGATATACCTTACTGAAGCTAAAAGGGTTGTTGTCAGCACGGGTACAACAGATATGTACCCCAGGTACGTTTCTGAATACAGAACCATACCATAGCCAAATTCAGAATACAAAAAAGTATCCTAGGACCCGTCCATTCTGCACTGTGCCGTTTTCTTGATCACAAGTGTCATTCTGTTGTAAGGGATGCATTTGATTGCATTATATAAGAAACAAGGAGACACAGTAACAAACATTTCACAATACCACTTGCGATCAGGCGAACAGGAATAATTACATACGGTTTCCGTTTTAGATTGAGAAATGTGGACTCATCTGTCGTTTACGGTTTAGGGTACTGGGTACCTTTCTGTATTTTGACTTTGTTTAGGTTACATTTCTGTATACAGAAACGTACATGGGGTACATATCTGTAGTACCTGTAGTGACAACGACACCCTTCAGCCTTACTGAAACATACCACATATGGACCTGCATGTGGTGGAATAGAAATACAAATTGACCAGGGGTTACTGAATGGAAACAGCAGACATTTATACACTATAAATATCACTTACATATTGTTTAGATTACCAATAATTGATTCCAAGTTTCGAAATGGTACCCATTGCTACCCAACCATGAACTAAGTACAACACAGTTTAACATGTTTAAAGGCGAGCCATATTCTAAAATTCCACTCTCTGGCCAACTTCTTAATGTCATTTGGTTGAACATAAATGTTACACATATTTTTCTCTTAACTGTTAGAATCACTGTTGAGCACTGGTTCAAATTAGAATTAGTTTCCTCCATGACCTCCTTCCAGTCTATGAAAGTTTGTTAAATGAGAGCACAGTTGCTGAACTTTCTGAAATGCACAACACTGAATGTCATCGGAATAATTCCTCGTATTGATTGTTGAATGAATACATATAGACAGACAATCTTGTATATTTTAAAAATAACTTGATGTAATGGAATGACATACCTTGAAGGACTTCGAAACAAAACAGATTGTGAAAAATGAGGAATCTTCATCACTTGACGAACACACATGCTCATTGTGGCAGCCATGTTGAAAGTCACGTTAGACAAGGGGGCTAACTCTAATAAAGTACTTTTCTCCCATTCTTGCATCACACTAGAAAAATCTAGAACGTCAAACGCTTGCATAAGCAATTGACCTGATTTTCCTTCAGCATATTTGGCAAATAAAGCATCATATTTTGTGTAGACTTTAGGAGATTTTGATAAAGTTAATGATGTTATAAGTGTACAATATTGTGTTTGGTAATTCATATCTAATGTAAATCGTTTATGAAATTGATAATGTCATGATTTATCGTTATATAAACGTTTGCTTTTACCGGAATTATCTCACAATTCAAAGTGAAACAGATTTAACAAACAAATAAATAACCAAACAAACTCCGTTAACAAACGTCGCTAACACAGAGAAAGGATTCATGGTTTCAGACAAGCTAAGACTCGAAGCGGAGGTAAAATCTGTTGTTGGTCTCTGTTGTGGTACATTTAAAGGGGTATATTAAAACAAAATAGGATATGGCGTGTATTTCCCCCGAATCTAATCAGGAATAATATGCGATTTATTGTTGTTGTCTTAGCCAAATATCTGATGACGTAATATTATTCATTCTGATCTGTTTCGTAATCAAATGATATTTATAAACAAATGTTTATGAGTTTCAAAGAAACAATATGTTCAAAACAGCACCTTTTCGTCCAATAGAAACAGGTTTAGATGGATTAGAAGGATTAGATGACACATATTAACTGTAACTGGTTGAATGATGTCATTCCAATGAATGAGTTTGTGAATGGGAGAGTGAGTGGAAGTGGGTGTGAGAAGGTGTGAATGTTCGAGTGAGTGAGATAGTGGGTGAGTGCGTGCGTGTGTGTGTGCATGCATGCATGAACTTGCTGGACAGATGGATGTAAAGATAATTGATAGATGGGTGAGTTAGTGGCTTGCCCAGCTACGATAGCCGTACATTAAATCAAATAACCAGCTCTTGTTTGGTTTAGGTTTAGCCACCATCAGAAATGGGTGTATACTTTCTCTTGTGGTCAGTATGTACAGAATATAAACCAGCGATACTGAGTCCCCTTCTGCTGATGGTGGCTGTGCGTCCTGGGTGCTGGGAAGACAGGAGCCCCACAGTCTGGTGGGCAATCTTGATAACTCTTAATGGCGCGAGGGTTTGTTTTGCTCGCTAAATAACTGCTTTTCGTGACTTGTGCTTTCAGATATAACTTTCTGATAAAACAACATGACGATACATTTCCATACAGAACACATCGGCAGGAAGCATAACTGCCTAGGTCATTGTTCTTTAGTTCCATGCGATCATTTCCCAGAGGGGTTTACAAACAATAATTGTTCACCTGTGCCTGTCAAGAAGTGTTCTTGCTGTGTTCATCTTCGTCTATTGACGAACATTGCACATCTTGAAGTGGTGACCGAGGAAATATTCTCTTCGTATCAAACGTCTATTCTTCCATTCTTGCTGAGTGTGGCGTACAACTAAACTCATTCACTCTTCCATTCGTCCATCCATTCATCCATTTACCTATCACCCAAGAACACATTAATCTGTCCAACCAACTGTGGCGAGGCCATGACACGTCCAGTCATCAAACAGGCATGTTTCAGCCATGACCTGAAGTCAATCAAGTCATACATCTCGCCATTATTCCTTTCGTCACCATTTGTTCATTTGTTTGTCTGTCGTCTTGTCCATCTGTCTTTTTATTTATTCGTCTATCCATGACCATGTAATCATCGTCAACTCAACCCATCCATCAGCCGTACTCCATCAGTCTGTCTGGCTGTCTGTGTCTGACTGCCCGTGTGTCTGACCGCCTGTGTCTGACTGCCCGTGTGTCTGACTGTCTGTGTCTGAGTGCCCGTGTGTCTGTCTGTCTGTGTCTGATTGCCCGTGTGTCTGACTGTCTGTGTCTGAGTGCCCGTGTGTCTGTCTGTCTGTGTCTGAGTGCCCGTGTGTCTGACTGTGTCTGAGTGCCCGTGTGTCTGGCTGTCTGTGTCTGAGTGCCTGTGTGTCTGACTGTGTCTGAGTGCCCGTGTGTCTGGCTGTCTGTGTCTGAGTGCCTGTGTGTCTGACTGTGTCTGAGGGCCCGTGTGTCTGGCTGTCTGTGTCTGAGTGCCTGTGTGTCTGACTGTCTGTGTCTGAGTGCGTACCCTCCCACTCCCCGACGTCACCCTCATATACCAGATGAAACTTAAGTAATCTGACGCCTTTCTTCAGGGCCATGTCCTCTGTTCCCATTAACCATTTCCGCAAGTGGCCAACCATTGCTGTCATTGCAATGTCAATCCAAGCTCCATTAATGCACTGGTAAAACATTTTCAAACTTGACAAATTAACAAACCACATCCCACATGCTGTATATGAACATTCAGAAAGGCCTGCAGATTAGCACCCCCGTACCCACCCCCCTACCATCCCAATCCTCACCCCCGGGTGATCTGCCTGAGTGGAGATAGGGAACACGCGTACATCAGTCTGGCTGGACTTCTCGTCAAGATAGACGGCGAGAAACGTGAATAAAACGTCAAGATTTCCCCAAATCCGGGCGTCTCTCAGTTCCCACATTCGACGAAAAACAGCCTTGATTACCATAAATACTATGAATATTTATCAACACACTTATGACTTCCATTATGGGAAATCTATAACGGGCATGACAAGGCTTATGCCTGGACGTCATTGATTGGTGAAACAAGGCAAGTATCGCGAGGCCTCACAGGGGTGGTCGGACACAGGAATTTTACATAAATGGCCATTATTTTTGTGCTCGTTAAAAGTGAAAGTAGGTGTCTGTCTTCGCCATCTTCTCCTCGGTCTGGCGCTGTGCAGTGACACACAAGAATCAGTCTTAATACCGCAATACCGCAATACCGCAATACCGCATTACCGTAATACCGTATTTATTTATGTGATTTTAATTACCCTAAAAGTGCATTTGTGTACAGAAACATCGCCGTAGGACATGGGATGTTCTTCAATATTTACCTATAAGCTTTATTTGCTTATGTTTTCATTCTGTATTATATGACAGTGTACTTGTAGTCAATGCTGGTACTCTGTCATCGTGCCGGTTTGCTTTAATAGATATAAAAGTCACCAATGATGTTCGATAATATATTTATTTCATCAGTTTCTGAAAAAACCCAGGAATGGAAGCACCCATGTATGTCTGTAGATCTGTAAATGTGAGAGAGAGAGAGAGAGAGAGAGAGAGAGAGAGAGAGAGAGAGAGAGAGAGAGAGAGAGAGAGAGAGAGAGAGAGAGAGAGAGAGAGAGAACACACAGAGAGCCGGGCTGAAACACTGTCACTCGACAGCAAACCCAAGTCTACACTGAATGTGGCTAGCCCAAGAGACAAGTTCATCTTAAGGGTAAGACAAGGATAAATATTTTGCCCCGAGCTGTTTAAACTCAGTATGAATTAAGACAGGGAATAAGGGTGAACTTGATCTATAACTGTTTGCCGGCGTCTTAGAAACAAATATCGAATTTCATAAAGAGGAGAAAAGAAAATGTGATGATTTCTTAGTAAAAAACGTATAAAAAAATGTAATCCAATCGATATCATAAATGAAAGTTTATTGGAATTTTAAGTGCGATAAATCTGAACAAATCGATTAATGATTTATGTCGCTGTGAAAAACAGTGGAAGGTTCCTCAGCTGTTAACATTAGGCGTGTTAATGTCGAACCTATTCTTTAAAATGTTTCTACATTCAAATCAACCCCATACTTTAATATTGATTTGATGTTTAGGAGTTTCAAAGTTTTGAATAAAATCGAAAAAGTACATCAGTTTTCTTGTTGGAATCAACGCCCAGCTATATTGGATTTCACGCTGTCGTAGCCCAAATGCGGGAACAGACTTCTTTTAAATATAAAAAGTATGGAAGATATTTCAATAGTGCGTTTCATTTAGATGCACAGTGCACTTTTTAACATCATGCGTTTTGTGGTTGTCCCTGTCAATTCTTTAATGGATTTTTACACTGAAAAATAAGTTTAATCGCTTTAATTAGAAACAGAACGTGATTCACAGAGTGTATCAAAAAGGAACGTTCGGGTGAAATTACTATCATTCCCTGACGGACAATACTGATTAATCATAATTAGCGTTTGTTAACATAGTATTTTAATATTTCAGCAAAGCGTGATCTGCATGATCCTAATGTGAACAAAATATTGCCTCATTGTTGCCAAGTGCAATGAGATCCGGCAGAATGTTTTTCTTCGAAAGAACTATAGATTTTATGGTTTATACATATTGTTAACGTTTTGATGGGGGGAGAGCATGACACGACCTAACATTTATAATGATCTCCAGAAGACACTTGGTTCGTCTGACTTTATCCAGTCTGTCACGAGAATATATGATCCATCTGACATACTGTGCAATGAGAGAATATATGGTCTGTCTGACATACTGTGTAATGATAGAATATGAGATCCATCTGACATACTGTGTAATGAGAGAATATATGGTCTGTCTGACATACTGTGTAATGAGAGAATATATGGTCCATCTGACATTCTGTGTAATGAGAGAATATATGGTCTGTCTGACATACTGTGTAATAATAGAATATGAGATCCATTTGACATACTGTGTAATGAGAGAATATATGGTCCATCTGACATTCTGTGTAATGAGAGAATATGTGATCCATCTGACATACTGTGTAATGATAGAATATATGGTCCATCTGACATACTGTGTAATGATAGAATATGTGATCCATCTGACATACTGTGTAATGATAGAATATATGGTCCACTTGACATTCTGTGTAATGAGAGAATATATGGTCTGTCTGACATACTGTGTAATGATAGAATATGAGATCTATCTGACATACTGTGTAATGAGAGAATATATGGTCCATCTGACATTCTGTGTAATGAGAGAATATGAGATCCATCTGACATACTGTGTAATGAGAGAATATATGGTCCATCTGACATTCTGTGTAATGAGAGAATATATGGTCTGTCTGACATACTGTGTAATGATAGAATATGAGAT